ATTATGGGGAATGACGAGTAGAGATGTGATGTGATCCATGGTAAAAATGTAGGATTCAATGCCCTGAAATTGGACATGCGTGGTTGGTGTCCTTGATGTACAAGAGAAGACCTTCAACCAGCGGTCTCATAAGGCTGTCGAGAAAGGCCGAGATGTAAGTAGTCGTACAGTTGCATGCTGATACGATGGGGCGTCCAGAGGTGGATTTTGAGCAGGAGGTAAAATTGAGATATCTGGGGATGTTCAATGATAATAATTAATAATAATAATTGCTTACACTTATATAGCGCTTTTCTGGACACTCCACTCAAAGTGCTTTACAGGTAATGGGGACTCCCCTCCACCACCACCAATGTGCAGAATCCACCTGGATGATGATGACCTGGTTCACCTCCTGGGGGAGCTCCTTACTGCTGATAAGAAGGGAGATGGTGGATACCACTTCCTTTTGGTAGTCAGTGGTAGGGTCCTGTTGGAGAGGCTTCAAAACGCCACACCACAACAGCGCCTCCTTTGTCCGTTGATTTGATGACGATATAATCCCTCTTGCGGAGAGACTGGAGCGCTTGAATTTCTCCTTGGGTGAGGTTAGACCTGTGTTTACTGGATATAGAGAGTGTCTTGGGAGCTTGATTGGTGCATTGGTTAATGCAGTGCTTCTCAAACTTTTTGGACCAAGTACCACCCCTGATCAAACCAAAGCATCCAAGTATCACCTACAAGTCATCTTCACATAGGAACCCCTGAAAATCTCAATGACCAACATGAGCGCACATGCGTGCACACACTCACATACACATATAAGAAATATTATAATAATAAACTTTATTTGATATAGCAACTTTAAAGGTGGCTTCTTAAAGTGCTTTACAGAAAAAAACAGGAGCAACAACACTTAAAAATAAACAATAAAAAAGCACCATTTCAGTGAGAGGGGTGAGCCTGTTTAGTCAAGCAAAGCAGATGTGAATTTATTTTTGAACCTTGATACAATTCACAACAGAGTCTAACAGATTTTAAATCTTCAGGCATTTTCTTGATGGCAACGGTCTCGTGGTTGATGTTGCAATGTGTCCATTTATTTCTGGAACAACCTCTCTAATTCGTACAACTACACTGCTGTGTCGGCTTGTCATTGCTTTAGCACCGTCTGTACAAACAGTTCTATCTTGACACCACTGCTAAATAATAGTATGTAAGAAGATTGGTTTAGTTTGGTATGCAGGGCCTGATGCAGATGCTTGTATAGTAACCTGATGCTTCAAGTTCAAGTTCGTTTATTTGTCAGTCGAGCCATATACAAGTGTACAGAGGAGTGAGATATTGTTCTCCAGGTCTATGGTGTGAATACAGACACTGACAAGACAATGCTACAGACAATGTAGACATAGACATTTCTGACAGGGTACAGAGTACATAAAGTGCAATGTGCATAGTGCAATTTACATTACAGCATTGTGCAAAGAATACATCAGACAGTATGCCTGACATTAGGCAAAAAAGAACTAGGTTTCCAGATTTGGAGTAGGTGCAGTAAGTACCAGGGTGTTGGGCAGCCTGACAGCCTGTGGAAAAAAGCTGTTACGGAGTCTGGTGGAGCTGGCCTGTATACTGCGATACCTTTTACCAGATGGAAGGAGGGCAAAGAGGTTGCAGGAGGGGTGGGGGGGGATCATCCACAATACTGAAGGCTTAATGTGTGCAGCAGTTGTGGTGTATGTCCTGAATGGAGAGAAGGGAGGTTCCAATTATGTTTTCTTCTGTATTGACAATTCGTTGCAAGGGCTTGCGGTCTGAGACCGTACAATTCCCAAACCAAACAATGATGCAGTTTGTCAAGATGCTCTCGATTGTGCCTCTATAGAATGTGGATAGTATGGGGGGTGAAAGTTTGCCCTTCTCAGTCACTGCAGGAAGTAGAGACATTGTTGTGCTTTTTTAGCTAGGGAGGTGGTGTTGATGGTCCAAGTGAGGTCATCTGTGATATGTACACCAAGAAACTTAGTACTTTGCCGTCTCCACAGGGGAGCTATTGATGTGCAGTGAGGAGTGATAAGCGCGGGCCCTCCTGAATTCAATTATCATCTCTTTTGTCCTGTCGACATTCAGAGACAGATTGCTGTTGAAGCACCAGTCCACTAGCTGCTCCACCTCCTCTTTGTATGGTGCATCACCGTTGCCCACCACTGTCATGTCATCAGCAAACTTGAACAGCGTTAACAGGGATGGGTTGAGTACCAAGCCCTGGGGGGTTCCAGTGTTCAGTATCGTTGTACTAGAGACGTTGTTTCCAATCTGGACTGTCTTAGGTCTCTCCGTCAGAAAGTCCAGTATCCAGTTACAGGCGGGGGTGTTCAGCAAGCTCAATTTTCTCTCTCAGTTTCTGGGGGATGATTGTGTTGAATGCTTAACTGAAGTCAATGAACAGCATTCTTGCATAAGTGTCCCTCTTATCCAGATGGGACAGGGCAAGGTGAAGGGCGAGGGATACAGCGTCATCGGTAGACCGGTTGGGATGATACACAAACTGGAGGGGGTTCAGAGAGGTTTGGAGTCTGAAATTAATGTGGCCCATGACTACCCTTTTGAAGCACGTCATGACAATTGGTGTGAGTGCCAATGGGGTGACAGTCATTGAGACAGGACACAGTAGACTTCTTTGGCACTGGTATAATCATGGTGCTCTTGAAAGATACAGGGATGACCGCCTGGAACAGGGAGATATTAAAAATGTATGTAAAAACATCAGCTAACTGTGCTGCACATTCCTTGAGCACACGACCAGATATATTGTCAGGTCCAGCAGCCTTATGTGGGTTAAATTTTGCTAGTGTCTTCCTCACATCAGCTGCGGACAGGCAAAGCACCTGATCGTCAGGAGGAAGTATAGTCTTTCTCAAAGGCACTGTATTTAGTGCTTCAAATCGCGCATAAAGTCATTCAGCAAATCCGGAAAAGGAGGCATCTCCATCACTGGCGTGTAGAGTAGTCCTGTAGTCAGTAATGGACAGATACCCTGGCACATGCGCCGCGTGTCTCTGGTGTCTAAGAAGTGACCGTGAATCTTCCATGCATAGTTGTGCTTTACCTCCCTGATGGCATGAGAGAGGTTGGCCCCCACAGTCCTAAGGGCTTCCTTGTCACCTGCTCTGCATTGCGAGTTCTTAGCAGTGAGCGGAACTCTATAGTCGTCTATGGCTTCTGGTTGGCCCGTGTGATAATAGATTTGGAGACAGTGACATCATCTATGCACTTGCTGATGTAGCTAGACACAGTTGTTGCATACTTCTCTAGATTGATATAGTTTTCATAGGTAGCGGCCTCCCTGAACATATTCCAGTCTGTGTGCTCAATGCAGTCCTATAATGCTGAAGTGGCTCCCTCTTTCTTATCTACCAAAACAAAACCTGAAACACTCAGTCTTCAACGTCTTCTAACGTCCTGCCTAACCTTCACTAACTACCCAAAACCATACAAGACAAAAGGCACTCACCCATCCTAAACTAGTGTTACTAATACTGAGAACAACTACATGTGTAGAATGTACCCGACAACCTTTACTAACCCTTAACACAAAAGTTCACACAAATACACAAGTGAACTACGGATACCAATAAGGGAAAATGAGAGCAGAGCAGAGTACAAAAGAATACAGAGGTTGATATAACACATTAGGGCTAACATAAAGGATAACTCAAACAAACGGAAGTACAAGACGACGAACACAAACCAACGAAGCCGAAGCTATACGAAAACAAACACAAAGCGAAACAAACGAAAACGGAGAGAAACGAAGCCGAAGCAAAACAAAAGCAAAAACAATGCTGAGCCTAGCAGAATCGAAGTCAAGCGAAAGGCCCCTTCATTCTGAAAACCTCCAAGTTAAATACTGAATAAGCTGAGTTCTAATTGGCAGCATGGGTACTAGTAAGAATTAGAAGTGTAGGTTGCTTGAGGTTAGTGTTGAATGGCAAGACAAATAATGCATGTTCCTCTATAGACTAACAGCTGTCTGATATTCATCCTTCAGCAATGTCAGCCAAACAGTTTCCATGCATCATGCTTGAAATATGGCTGGTATCTCAGCCCCAGCATGATGCTACTAGACTGGAAAAAAGAACATCTCCCATGTCCTTGGAAAAAAAGTCAACGGTTCAATTGGAAGTCAGATCAAGCTCCCCAGATGTATTCACTGAATGTTGTTCAATTACCAGGGTTTTAATGGTGTTTAATTAACAAGGGCCAGCCAGCTGTGAGACTGACTGGAGAGAAAACTGCACCTTATTTATTGCAGGCAGGCACTCCAACTGTTCAGTAGGTCCTAGCTGCCTCTGGTCTTTATGGGCTCATGGTATGGTGTTATGTATTAGCCAGATTTTTTTTGTCATAAGTCTATCTTCAAAGTAGGTGGTCTGACTGCAAGAAAAGTTGTGCTAGCCACCTATTGAATAATCATCAGCCACATAAGTTAAATACCTTAGTTTATTTGATGTTACCATTTTCTTGTACACTATTATTTTTGTGTCACAGAATTGGATTTTACTTCCAGATTTTCTTCATTTCATGAATCAAAGTGGACTTTTGTCACAAAACTTAGGTTTTAGTTATGTGAAGAACTTTTTTAAATTTGAAAGAAACTTGTTTAAATTCCCCAAAGGTGGTGTAGCCTTCAGAATGCAAAGCAAATACTGGGAAGAATGAAGTATGAAGGACCTAACAGTGCAGACTAAAAAAAGTTATTTTCTAAAGTGTGGTGGTGTTGGAAGTGTAGGGTGGTTGTAGTTAACTTCTCTTGTTGCCACACTAAACTGAAGCACAGTTAATCACTGTAGTGACAAGTCAAAGATGGCCAACAAGCCACTCTCAAATGTAGATGCTGGATATCTGAGAATCTGGGATGATTATGTTCCAGATCCAGCAGAGATTCACACATGGCAGCACTTTCTTCCTGTCCCCCTGGCCTCTCTTGTTTTAAATGTATGCTTGTATCTTCCTCACAGCAATGAAGGCTGATCGCAAGCGCTTGAAGGCAGAGAAGGCTGACCTGGTGAACCAGATGCAACAGCTGTATGCTACACTGGAGAGCCGAGAGGAGCAACTCCGTGACTTCATACGGAACTATGAGCAGCACAGAAAAGTAAGATCCCTCAAGGTTCTTGGTGTAGGAATGGATACCTAAATCACAGACTCTTCCTGTGTCAGCTTCCCATATTGAGATTTTCTAAAATCCGTCTCTTTGTTAATCTGCAGTGGGGGTGGCAAAGTAATTCACCTCAGGTCCCCAACACACACTGTACCTGTGCTACACAGAACAGTAAACTACTCCTCAGCTCCTCTTCTTGAGGCCTCCAGACCATGAGCATGCAGAGAAATGAAGCATGAAATTTAAGATTTGATACCATTCTGAAACAGTACATGTTTGATAATGTAATAATAATAATAATAATAATAATAATAATAATAATAATAATAATAATAATAATAATTATAATAAATAAACTTTAATAGTAGCTTGTCGAAGTGTTTTACAATAAGAAAAAACAATGATAGATGATAGAAAACTTAGCGTAATCAAATATTAGGGTTTTGAGTGCAGTAGAAGATGCAAAGACATCAATTAAGTATAAGCCTTTTGAATAAGAAGGGGTGTAGCAGTTTCATGTGGGTTTAGCTAGCCCAATGAGTAGGGCATTGCAGTAACAATGTGGCGACCAGCCTTTCATCTACAGTTAGAGACAACATAGGATATAGTCTGGCGAGTTGGAAAAATAATGTATTTACAACATTTTGTACATGTGGGTAAAATATTTATGTTATATTTATATGTAACAAATATGACATATAACACAATATATTTATATATCATATTTACATATAAATACATAAATTACACAAATGTATACAAAATTAAGTATCATGAAAGTGAAACTGAATTCATATTCGGTTTGTGGTACAAACTGTGTTGAAGTTCAGAAAGAGTAAGAATGTTCACTGCACCTTGTTGGAATTTTAAGATTAATTTATAGTCAAATTGACCTGCCTAATCATTATAGATTTGCTAGTAAGCCATCAACTATCTTGAATGAAACATCTCTGGAGGTTCACGGATAGCAATAATCTTCCACTGAGCTGTTTATAGAACTGTTTCCAGTGGTGGCTTCTGCACAATTACTCTAAGCCAGAACTGAGAAACCCAGGGTCTCGTCTGCACAGAGTTAATAAGTGCTGCAGGCTGTACCCCAGACTCTTCTTCACAAAATTTTACTTTGAAATGTTCAAAATTCACATTTTGATCATAGGTTTTCTTCAGTGTCTGACCAATCCCTCCAAGCTGTTTGGTTATTATTCAAATGGACTAGTAGAGCTTGGCCACATAGTAAAATAAATCCATATGTGTAAACTGCCATCATATCCTCAACATGCCATAAAATAGCAGCCTAGTAACTGGTGTAGGTGCTTTTAAAAAAATGCTGTTTTAGTTGGGTCCTCCACATCCCTCTACCTTTCCTCCTCTAAAGACACTTGCACAGCCACTCTGTGTCTGTGATACTTTAGCTGCTGTTGAAGCCATAGGCTCATGGTAGGAAAAGAAGTGGAAGGCATGTGTGTTATCTTTATCTGTCTTGTGTTCATATGATGTTTTAGCAGTTAGTAATGATAAACAATTAGGTTGATAAAAAGCAAGTAACTAGTAATTATCAATTTACGAAACATGGCTTAAGCTGGACAGAAATCTGTTGACCAAGTGTAATTTCCTAGTATGAGAGATTTTCTAGCTCTGATAGCAAGATATATTGAGTGGTGGGAGTACATTGCTTTGTATATTGACTACTAGTACCATATACTGTGATGGTGTATTGGAGAACTGCAGTGACTTAGAAGGTGATTGAATCAGTTTTAATTGAGTCTTTCAGTTTGTCACATGTTCTCACTGGTACTAACATTAATTTGTATTCCATTAGTGTCCAGAGCAATCTTATTAAGGGTGATAACACCAAAAACCAACCCAAAACATTTATGATAAACTCTTGGGAAATTCCAGGTGACCCTTATTGCACATAGTATTTCCATGTTTTAGGCTACTGTGGTAAAACAGGCATTGGGTATTTAAAAACTCCTCATATAAGAGGTGTTTATATACTACTGCCTCTCCTTCCCATCAGTCTACTGTATAACAGTTTACCTAGAGTAGAGTTGGATGTGTATTGAGTTTTGCATGAAGTTGGTTTTAGTGATTATTTTACAGTAAGCTCAGAACACATTTTGTGCAACTCTAATAAATGAATGGACTTCCAGGCATACTGTAAATAAATACAGAGCTTAGGAAGACACATATGAGCAGTAAAGACAGAGGAGCAGCTAGCATATGTTTCTGGTGAAGGCGAAATGTGGGAGAAATGTCAAGGAAAATGCTGTTGCCTTCCAGCTCAGTTCATAATTATTGAGGCTAATTGAACCTCCATGTTAAAGCATCCTAAGAGTACTAAGCTTCACTACTCCTGTCATTTAATCTTTTATCTGAGAGCATTTGATATGGTGCAACATTCACCTGTGTCTCATCACTTAGCCTCTTAACCTGTAAGTGCTGTACACAGCCTCAGGGGAATAACAGTTTATCTAAGCATATGGAAACACTCCTGTGTGTAGAATTTCTTGACAGCTATGCTTTGAAAACCAAAACTGATTGTAGAAGTCAGCTTCAAAGGTGGAATGAGACAAAACAGTTCAGTTAGACTGAGCATTAAAGAATTACATCGTGATAGAGATCTTCATTCACTAAGTGTATCCCAGCAGTTGAAATGTCCTCCCCACTCTCTTGTGTCCTCCTTTGACTTTAATGTGAGACTTTTGTGATCTGTGCTGACAGGAGAGTGAGGACGCAGTGAAGGCACTGGCCAAGGAGAAGGATCTACTGGAGAGGGAGAAGTGGGACCTGAGACGGCAAACCAAAGAGGCCACAGAGCATGCTGGCACTCTGCGGTCCCAGCTGGACCTGAAAGAGAACAGGATCAAGGAGCTGGAGGCAGAGCTGGCCATGGTAGGCAGTTCCCTTATAGATTTCCTCTCTGGGTGAAGCATTTTCTTCAGTATCTTCATAGGAATTCAGGAGTGTGTTTATCCAAGATGTAATTGCCTATCTGTTTTTTTTTACAGCTCTAGTCTCTATAATAATAATTGTAAAGAAGTTCTGCAGGCAGTTTCTGCAGCATTTTGAAACCATAACACTGCAGTAATGTGCCTTTTAAAGACAGCTTGGTTCTTGTTGTGCTGAGACTATTCTGAAGATTTCATCTACTTTCAGTTTGCAAGATAGTGCAAACTGAAAGGTACTTCTGTCCATATTTATTGACTCATTTTTTTCCTGAATTCTGCTATGAAACAAAGACTTATTGCTCTTTCCACCATGAAATTTCTCATGCCTGTTAGTTTTGCTTGGTGAACTGTATCATGCCACACTATTACTGGTTTAGTATACTTACAGAGTGGGGTGGAACAGCAGTCTGAAGTCACTCTGCCAGCTGCCTCAAGGCAGCTTCAGCCTCACCACCTTCCCCCTGGATGGTGAGAGTTATAGGACATGAATAGACCAGCCAGGAGAATTCAGTCTTCTAGTAATATAAGATTTGAGTTCATAATTATAACAGTTCCCCTACATGAGCCACATAAGAATTGATTTACTAAACAATAACAAGAGAAGGGGGTCACTCTGGTTGGACACAGTGTGACAACTGAGACCCTGTGACCAGTAGATGGCTAGTTTTAGTTCAGCCAAAACAAAGTCCAGCCCCCCCGTGCCACCCGAACTGTGCCATACTCTAGTGTGTGTGTGTGCCCTGTTTCCTCAGATGAGTAACTGTGTGGCACAGAAAAAGGAGTTCCGAGTGTTTGACCGCCCTGTGGAGAAGGAGCCCTCCCCCAGGGCCTTGGCGGTAAGATGAGGATTAAGCACAATGCCCCTCAGCTCTGCACTGGCTGGGTGGCTGCAGAGGGTGGCAGCAGTGACGGGGGCAGGGCTGTGTGCCTAGCTCAGCTTTCTGTGTGGTGATCATGATGCAAGGGTTTCTGGGTTAATCTTGCATTCACTAACACCCAGCTGACACCAATTAATCTAACTGATTAAGATATCAGTTCACAAAGTATTAACAAAATCTTGGCAGATATTGAGATGTGTACAGTTTACGGGATGATTTTAGAAGCTGTTTGCTCTAGCCCAACGACTTTCTCTCTGTTTTTTCTAGTCCAGGTAACCCCCGTTAATCTTCCCAGTAATTTTGATATTCTTTATATTTTGCAAATATGTTGTCTCTTGGTAGATCTGTGCATTTAAACATGTACAGTTACTTCTAGAAAATAGGCACCAGATTTTACTCCATATATATACTGTAGTCCTACAAATCCAAGACTTCACAGGACCACTCACATCACAGTGCAGAGGAAAAAGCTGAAGGAAAATAGTAATCAGGCCATAGTCAGGAGCCTGACAGCTACTTGCAGTCCTGGTCTGATCAATTACATCAAAAAGAGCCAGCTGGTACCATCCAGGACACTCCTTTTAAAAGCCTAATGTTCAAAGGCCATGGATTGTGCCCAATCTGGTAAGGATAATGACTTCTTTCCAGGAATCACAGGGCCAATTAAAGTCACCAATGAGCCATGCTTTCACTCATGTACTGAACAGGAGTTGTTGTGTGTTTGAATTAATTATTTTTAATAAGTAGCATTCCACCAATGATGACTATGGAAAAACCTTCTCGTGGGCCAATGATGAAGATCTGCATCAATTACAGCCACATAGGGTCATTGACTCCTCCTGAAACAGATCCCTCAGGAATTTTGTCAGAAACAGTTTTGAGGCCCCTTAAGCTTCATACAAAAAAGGCCTGTGCAGAGACACAGACACAGAACCGCAGAGCCAGTCTGAATGTGAGCTGATGTATTATTTTTAACTATTTGTTTGGGCAATCGGGAATTGTCTGAGCATTTGCTGTCTGCACTGAAATGCAGCATTGCAGCTGTCCCCGAATCATAGCTTGGTTTGTCAGCTGAGATTTCTCTGTCTTGAGTGATGCTCTCTAATAAAACCTGATAATTACACTGGCATGTTGTTTGCTGTGTATACAGTATGTGATTACATCTGACCATTGTCCTTGCTGCGTTTAGTGCTGTTGGAACCAAGGGGTACGTAACACAGGCCAAGATTTTCTTTCTGAGTAGATATTTTCTGTGCCAATGGTGGATCTACAGACAAGATATAGCTGCTGTAATGAATGTCATATTCTGAGTTTTCCTTAGTCTCCCTCTGTGATTGGTGGTAAAATAAAATTCTTCGCTATGTCAGATTCTCAGCTTCACCAGCAGAATAAACTATCCTGCTTTGTACCAGTACAGCTGCTAAGACTGTTATGTAATGGCTTTGTTATCCTGAAGAGTAGTTTTTCCTTCTCTGTGCTGTCAGCAGCTGCTGTCTCTAGCTGCTCTGTGTCTCTTGGAATGACAGTACACAGCGGAAAACTTAACACCTTTTGTTTGGCCCAGAGAGAATATTTTAGGCTGGAAGAGCAAGGAAACTATAGCAGTTATAGTATAATGTGGTCAGCTTATGACACTGACATGTCTAGACTAAAGCCTTTGGGAACATTTTAATTTTAGAAGCAGTTCATGTAGGAACAGAAGTGCAGAACTGTGGGAGCCTGGTTCCCAGAAATCAGAATTACCCCGTGGCTTCCAGGAAGAGGGCTGCTGATCCGCATATAAGATGTTTGCTAATAAGATGTTTACTTTTGTGTGCACTAATTCGGTGTTTAAATTTTGTTTTTTCGGTGAAGACAGTTGCCTGCCTGACTCTGTGTTCATCTCTTTCCAGCATTTTAACATGGTATTTTCTCCCCTCCTGCCAGGCGAAGCAGTCCCTAGCCACCCTTACCAAGGATGTCCCCAAGAGGCACTCCCTGGCCATGCCATCTGAGGCGGTGCTCAATGGTAACCAAGAATGGGTGATGCAGGCTGATCTGCCCCTGACCGCAGCCATCCGGCAGAGCCAGCAGACCCTTTACCACGGGCACAGCGGCCACCCTTGTGAGCGGCAAGGTAAGCCACACTGCCTCGGAGCAGCAGCCAACTGCCTCTTCGGTCTGATTGCATCCTTCTGTACCCCCTCCGAGACTGCAGAGCCCAGCCATAGGGACAAGGGCAGCTTGATCACAGAGGAAACACAGCTGTAACACTACACTGACATTTGGGCTGTGTGTGTCCTGCAGAGTGTGATGCAGGAGACAGTTGTTTATACTCCAGACACAAAGATAAGATAAGATCACTTAATTGGCCATTTACAATTTTTCATATTACGAATGTGTCTTTTCGCATACCCCAACCTGCTCTCCATAAGACACACAGACAGGGAGAGAAGCTTGAGGTCAGATCGCAGGGTCAGCCATTTATATGGCACCCCTGAAGTAATTGGGGGTAAGGGCCTTGCTCGGGGGCCCAACGGAGTAGGATTCCTCTGCCGGCTTCGGGATATGAGCCGGCAACCTTCCAGGCAGAGATCCTTAGCCACAGAGCCACCGTACCACCCCTGCAAAGGTGGTGCAGACAGCACTTAATATGTCTAGGTTCTTTATGATATTGAGAAGTGTTCTTTTAAATGACTCCAACCAGCATTAGGTCAAAACAACTTAAACAACATAAACTTGACCAAATCACGGCACAAGACATTCTTTCCAAAAATAAGAAATCTAAATAGCAATTCCTACACCTGCCAGAATCAGAACAACTTTCAACCTTACTGTGGTAGGAAACTCAGTAGAAGTAGTACTCTCTCCTGTCACATCCTGAAGAACAGACAATGATAGATATTTTATTAATCCTGTAAGGGAAATTGTAGTGCAACAGCAGCCTGGCACAATCAAGACAGCATAGTACAACTTAATAATACAGAATAAACAAAAATAAAACAGAATGAACAGTGCACAAAGAAGATGTATTGCACAGTAGATATATTGCACAGTCCACAAGCATATTGCACAAGTGTAGATGTGTATTACACAATTATAAATATAGCCTGTCTAACAAAAATGTAAATGTAATAACATGTTTGTACTGTAAATTTGTGTACATTTTTCTTTGACAGTCCTTGAATTCATCAGTCATGTTAATACATCTCTTTGAATTTGAATTTGAGACACAGGCTCATGAGAGAGACAGAGAGACAACCACACCCAGACCCGTGAGAGAGAGACACATAGACACAGGCCCATGAAAAATAGAGAGATGCATATCTGTGAGAAACAAGTAAAGGTTTCAATCATCAGAGCACTTTAGCATACTGAGTTTTGACCAAGAATCTCTCAGTGGAAGGAATAAATGTAAGACAAACAAATAGTCAAAAACCAGTTTATTAATACTGTATATTAACTGAAATTAACAATGTAAATTCTGTATTTTATGAATATTGCTTAGCAGTCCAAGCATTAGGATACTGTATGAGTCAGTCAGTCATAGTCAGTCACAAGAATTGTGTGCTCTTGCAGTATTGAATTGTGAAACAGCTTGACCTTCACAGCTCAGGCACTGTGAAATTGCATGTTGTTGATCTGAGCACTCCTGAGCTTGCAGGTGTGGGCAAGTTGTCTGTTTCAGCATTCATTTCTCCCCTCTCTGTCTTGATACCTTTCCAGTCCTGAACGTCTCAAATGCACCTCCTTTGTGTGGTACAGTACCTCATCTTTTGAAATACACATGTTTTGTAATTGAGATGATATTTCTTTTCCATTTCTCTTTTCAATTATACCTATATCTACAAACAACCTGAGACTGAAAATAATGTATAGAGTGTCAGTGCAGGAGTAGCCCTGCCTGGTCTCTAGTGTCGGGCAGTTGAATATTCCCTATGGCTGTGCTTTCATCAGCCAGGCACCTGTACAGCACAGAGCCTTCATACAGCTTCAGTATGTACAGCTTCATACAGCTTCAGCTATATATATATTTCTATATAGCACCAGGCTGGGTGCTATATAGAAAAGCTTTTTAAGGATTCATTTAAGCATGTTCCTTTGTAGCTGGTGGAATGCACAGCATTGTTATCAAAACATTATTATTATGCTAGAGTTTTCATAATTAGTCAAATACATCTTTAAATTTATGTTTTATTTATGTTCATGGATATTTTTGTTTCGAACGAGAGCAATGAGAAAAAATGAAAAGGCTAATTTGCCCAGATATTGTAACTCTAGATTCATCTCTGATGTAGGATTGACAGGGCTCTGTGTATGGAGAGCTGTCTTCTTCACTGGGTTAGACTACCTGGACGGTTTAGTGTTGTGTTGAAACAGATGTTTGAGACAATGTGGACTGTAATTAAAGTATGTATTTTTTCCCTTTGAAACAAGAATTGTTGCATCTCCTGAAAGTTGAAATGTTCTAAAGTAAACTGTTAGGTTAAAAAAGTTTACTGCATTGTAGTATTCACAGGCTTACAGAATGCTACATAATGTTAACTCATTAAAGTAATCTCATAAATACCTTAACACATTAAGCACTTTGTCACTTTTATTTATATTTAAAACAATGTTCTTTGTGCTGTGTAATAGCTGAGTATGCTGCTCTGGTGCCTGAAGAGGCTGGGCTCCACTGCTCCCTCACAGTGCACCTGGGACATTGCTGTGTGGCCCTGACCCCATTTCCTCCTCTCAACAGCGGCTGTGAGGGTGAGTCCCTGTCACTCCCGTCAGCCCTCCATCATCTCAGATGCATCGGCTGCGGAGGGAGATCGCTCCTCCACCCCCAGCGATATCAACTCCCCTCGGCACCGGACGCACTCCCTCTGCAATGTAAGAGCTCCTCGTGGTCGACACGTTACCCCAAGTAATCACACCTCCGCAACCCGTCTCTGTCGCTGGCAAGAGGACTCTCACAGCCTGGTTTGTTCCACAGTAAACTTGGCTCCCCTGTATCTCCTCTGTAGGAATTGTGAAGGGCTCAGATATTACTAACACTCCCCAACTAAACTGTTTTAGAAAATTACAGCATTTATTGGTTATTCTCATGCATTTTCATACTCTTGAAAGACACTGGCATGTGGTGTTTTGTTTAAATGACCAAAAGACATTTGGCTGTAATCTGCTCAGAATTTCCCATGTAAGCATTAAAGTATAGACCCAGCTATAGGCTGCGTAAATTTAATGAAAGAGAAATACAGTGCCACTTTCCCTCTCATTCAGAGTTTGGGAATTTTGCATGTGTCACATTTGGAGATTTGAAGATATGGAGCAGATTTCGCTGTGGAGTAAATAACTTTGAGAGTCATCCTGCTAAGAGTGATTGATTTTTCTGGTTTTGGGAACACTATTGGTCTTCTCACTGTTTATTCATCATGTTTCAAAAACTCTGGTGCATACAGATTTCAGCCCAATTAAAATGAGACATGGGCCTGATACAGCTGTGGCAAAGCAGAAGAACACAGTTCCAGTGATATTTCTTATGGGTTGTGCACACAGTGATAAAGAAAGCTGGTGTGTTTACCAAACTGGGAATATCTGGCAATTTTACAGTCTTGTTTGGGATCCCTTTCCCTCTTTGTGGATTTTTTGTACATTGTGGGCATTCCCATTTTTGTGCATGTTCCAAAAAAGTAAGCAAAAGAAATACTAATAAACAGTTCATGTATACAATGTTGTGCTTCTACTGAAGTCCGTATTGCCCATAGCCTCCTGGACACTTGAATGCTGTGCTGGGAAAAAAATGGGCTATCATCACAGATGCAAGCCTTGCAGCAGTCCCTGCCTGAGAGCTCACACACAGTCGCTGTGAAGTGCTTGATCTGAGTGCAACAAGAGTTAATTCTTTATTAATGGAGACTGTGAAGGCTATCCACTGCCTTCAGTAAAAAAGAGAGGCTACAAAGATAGGGAAACTTTTTTTTTTCCCAGAGAACCTCTAGAGCTCTAGTGAAAGTATCATCCTTACAAATGACTGTCTGTGTCAGGCCCTGTTTAGGCATGTACTGTAGTCAGCTATCTTGTCCATTTTGTGCTTGATTGGTGTTTTAAGGGAATCATGTCATCTCTATATTAAGAATGCTTATTTTAATATAGATGGGCTGTTTCCTTTGCTCCTAGCTGTTCTTGGTGAAGACGTTGTCCATTTTATATCTCCAGGGATTATTTAGCAGCCATATCACCCTGCAACTAGCAATCCACTGCTGCTAAGCAGGAGTGAGCCTGGTCAGTACATGGGTGGGAGACCTCATGGGAAAATAAAAGGTTGCTGCTCAAAGAGGTGTTTGTGGGTCCAGCAGGGGACACTCACCCTGTGGTATGTGTGGGTCTTAATGCCCAAGTATAGTGACAGGGACACTATACTGTAAAAAAGGCACCGTCCTTCAGATTAGACATAGAACTGAGGTCCTGGCTCTCTGTGGACATTAAAAATCCCAGGGCTTTCCTTGAAAAGAGTAGGGGTGTAACCCTGGCGTACTGGCCAAATTTCCCTGATAACCCTGGCGTACTGGCCATGATTGGTAAAGGCAAAATTTGGCCTTTACCAATCATGGCCTCCTTTGAATTGGCTTCATCACTCTGTTCTCCTCCCCATTACCTGTTAAGCGCTCTGAGTGGAGTGTCCAGAAAAGTGCTATATAAGTGTAAGTAATTATTATTATTTAAAATAGCAAAACAATGACAACAGTCATGTCAGTGGTTTGGAATTGCTAACTGTAGGAGACGAGAGAATGCACAGCCTGCTCTGGGCATTTGTATTTAATTTCAAGGCATCAGTTTTTTTAAGAACGTCCTCGACGCTGATGAGTGTCTGTCACCATACAGTATCTGTGCACAGCCTGCCTGTGATATCTCTCACTGCTGGTGCAGGTTCAGATTAGAGAGTTCTGTGATTTGCAACCCAACCATGGGGAAAAGCGGATGAGTCAGCCAGCAGATGAGGAAAATGCTTCAGGGAGGAACAGTGTGACAGGTGTTGTGTGTTGATTTAAGCATTACTGTTTCACAGTAGTATTTTTGTTAACACTTAACACACTTTTGGAATATACACAAGCACCTTACATACACAGTCACTTGTAAGGTTGAGAGACAAAGTGTCGGGTGAGGAGATGATGCCTCCTCAGCTGACACTGTGTCGGGATCCTTTTTGGAAGAACCTGGATAATCAGTGTACACAACATAGTTAGACAGTTGGCACTGTTCTCTCATTTTTCTTCCCAACATATTTTTCAAAAACTGTCACAAGTATGAGTTTCTTTTTTCTCCAACACGCCAGTCACATAGTCCTCCCAGTGCTAGCAAGAGATTGACATTTTCTGTGTTCAAACGTTCAGGGAAGTGTGCATGGAGATGGTTAGATCAGATCTTCCTCGAGTTGCTGTACTGATATGGACTGGGCGATCAATGGAAAATTCCACCCTCTACCAGAAGCTGGAGCAAAGATCTCTTCTTCGTGTCAGAGCCAACCTAGCTGAAGAGGAGTTTGTTGAAGATATTGGTTTTCCATCCAGTTTACCTCAGTCATCGAAGCTCATTAATGCCCAGAGTGTCTGAACATACAGTATGCCCTCAAATGCCTTCTGTGATGTGGCAGTAGGTTGCTAATTGTATGTCAGTTATGTTGAACTTTCAGCTTTGAAAGAATTTAAAATTGCTTTAATTTATATTTTAACTGAAAGAGCAGCCTACTGATTGAGAGTATTCAATGTTAATTTAGTCTAAATGTTACTTTGCAACAATATCCTTATCACTGGGACTTTAATCAGCCCCAGGATCAACCTCAGCTCTTAATTACTTATGTTCTCTTGTATCAGTACAGGAATGCTTCAGCTTTTGGTTTGTGGTCTTTAAAATTCAGTGAATAGGTTAGAAACAACAGAACTCTTTCCCCTTGTTAGTTAAACTTACTAATATCATCAAAATGCTTTTTGTAAGACCCTGGTGAATCAGTGTCCACCACATGGTTTGACAGTTTGCACTGTCCTCTCAGTCATTTCTGTTTCCAACATGTATTTTCAAGAATTGGCACAGGTAAGAGTTACTTTATTTCCAAGATACCTGTCACACAGCCCTCCCAGTGCTAGCAGGAGCTGCTCCAGTTGTCACAGCAAGACAAACAGCGCATAAGGAAAACTATGTCATCAACCCTTATGTTATTTATGTGCTAAAGTTCTGTAACCCATACCAGTCCTTGAAAAGCTTTCCCAAAAAATAAAAAAGAAACAAACCAGCAGAACAAGAAATCAAAAGGATTTGTATTTTAATAAGACTGGTTTTGATGTAATAAATTAGACTATTTGATCAGATTATTTCCCTAATCCTTGGGGAACAGCACAATGAATCCATCGTTGATGAGCTCCTTGAGGGTTAGTGCAGGTGCAGTGTAGTCATTTTCAGCTTTTGAAAAGGTATTGTGTTGTTCTTTGACCCACTTCAGCCAGAAAACATTTATCCTGTTAAACTATGTAATGCTTCTCCAAAATTTTGTTAATAGGGAAATTCACAACAGGAAAATTGCATTGAGGTAGTAAGGCTCTGTGGCTCCTGTATAAGCAGTCTACTCCTGCAGCATCATTGCCTGACTCAGTTACCATTAAAATATTTTAGCCATTAATTTTATCATCTTGTTTGAGGTGGTGTTTTGATTATCTGGATTTTCTCTTCCTTAGTTTTCCTTCTGTTCTGCCACTACTGACCGTGTATGGACCCTTATCACATGGGCCTTCTTATCACAGCAGGTGGCCCCTGCTAACAGGGCCAAGATTGTTTAGTAACCAGCCATCACATCTCCAGAACTTTGTCACCTGAGTATTTTCCCCTCCTGTAACCATTCCAGGACATTGTTGTGCATGTGTCTAAGTGATTATGTAGCACATAGCAGTCAGGCTACGAACCTGTGGTGCTGAGAAAATATAAATTAGCTACCATGTTATGTGTGATTAATTCTGACAGGATCATCTTTTAAATCCACAGAATTTATAAAAAAGAGTTTGAGAGCATTTAAAGCTCAAATGGTAATGAATTGATAATCAATTGATCAGCCATTGTTTATTTGATTATTCATTAATTTATTTATTATCTATTAATTACTCAATTAATAGATTAACCGATGGCTTAATGTACTGTTAATATGCAGCAAGTCACTCTCTGGGCTCCCCCAACCTGTTCACACCTCTTCCAGCATTGACATTTTTAAAACCCATTTAGCATTACTGCAGTCTTGGCAGTAAACCATGGACTCACAACTTTGCTTTTGACTTGTAGGGTAGAATAAGTGTCACAGTCTGTCTTCAGACCTGGTAAATTAATTGCATAATAAGAAGTTCAGATAGATTGACCACGACCAACAAATCCTAAACAGCAAAGTTGTTTTCATCAGAATCATGTGCAGCAGGATCCTTGACTGAGTTTCGTCGGGCTGCTTTACAGTTATAGCGCATTCTGTGTGTACAGAGTGTGCTTAATGTTTGCACAGGCACTCTCGTCTCAACTACTACAATCTGGTATCTATCAAATCGAACAGTGTTTTATTAAAGCAACTACCATTGCTACTTTGTGTATGTTTTGTTCTTCCTCTTTGTGTAAGAATATCCACACAATGTACTGATTATGCCGTGAACAAGCTTTGAGAAATGTTAATTTCTCCACAATTACATAATTAATAGCTTAAGCACAGAATCTAAGTAGACCCCTGCTAATGACAGTGCTATTTTAATCACCTACAAAGGGATCTAGGAATAAAGCTAGATCTGTGGATCCGGGGCCTGGCCTGGGTGGGGCAGTCCATCTCTCAGGGGCTGCATTTCTTTTCTTTAAGGGCCTTGTGTTGAGTATCTCAGATCTACTGCATTAACATCTGTCCATAGCCACCCTCTACCCCCATCTATCTTATATCGTCTGTCACTCTGTCTGTCTCCCTCTTGGTCACTCTGTGTCAGTCTCTTGCTCTGTCACCTGTCCCTCATGGTCACTCTGTGTCTTTCTCTTGCTCTCGCCCCCGTCCCCTCTGTCTGTACAGTCACTGGAGGACCTCGAAGACCAGAAGCGCAAGAAGAAGAAGGAGAAAATGGGTCTTGGGTCCCTATCACGGGTCTTCGCCCGGGGGAAGCAGCGCAAGTCTCTAGACCCAGGCCTGTTTGATGGTACTTCTACTCCCGATTATTACATAGAGGAGGACGCCGACTGGTGATGCCACCAGCCTGAGTGCTCTGTGTGTGTGCGTGTGTGAATGAGCAGTGTGAGTCCTGACAGACACAAAGACAGAAATGTCAGTAATGAGCCCTTTTCTCCTGCTGTGTCTCTGCCTCCCTGTAATGTACGTATTTGCAAACGAAACAAAATATATGTATGTATATAGAATATATATTTATACGTATATATGTATATATATGTGGGATTATTACATGTGGATATGTTAACTGTCGTCTTCAGAGAGATACGACTGTGTTTTAATCTTTTACTTGTCTTTATATATTTCTTTCCAATAACTGGAAACTTGAAGGACTGCTGTGTATTTGTAAATAACAGTCATTGTGCACTTTGTGCTTGTAAATGTCTTTTGTCCTGAATGCTTTTTTTTTAATTTGGTTTTAATTCACCTGTCTTTATATTTTTCTATCAATACTCCAATTGATCTGCATATTTGATTTGTATTGCTCAAGAATACATGAGATATTCACCCGGCTCCTGAAGAAACAGTATCCCTTAAGCAAGCTGCAGGGCTTCAGTCTCAGGAGTAAATCTGTTTCAATTAGGATCTGCAGAGTAACACAGCTAAGTGAAATCTGGATACATGAATGGCTCTGGGGTGACACGTGGAAAATTATAGCTTTCTATCTGAGCTCTCTATCTGTTAATCTTCAGGACTCCCACTCTCTCCTCCTCACTCAGTTTCAAGGTTCAGATCTGGAGGTTCTGTTTCCAGTTCATAGCCAGGATGAGACCTGCATGTGCAGCACAAAGACAATAGTATTTAAAGTTTGTACTGACATTTCAAAGATTTATGGAATTTGTAAGGCTTATAAAATTGTAATTTTTCTTAATTCCATAGGGGGAAGTGAGACATTATTGTGTTCCTCCTCATCGTAGCTAATTTCTTGTGTTTTAAAAAATGTTTTTTTCACAAAATATTAAAAAATAGAAGAGTGATTTGGTGGAACTTCTCTTACATTTCACCAGTGTGTTCTGTCCAGAGTGTTGTCTGCCAGAGCAGAATTAGCAGGAATGCCCAGTGTTCATGAGAAGAGAGTGACTTGGTGCATGAATGTGTATCAGCTTGTCAGCAGTGAGCTGTCAGCTCCAGAGAGAACCTGCTGAGTTTAATGGAATCCCAGTTAAAGGGAGGATGGGGAAGAGTCAAACTGACAATTTACCTAGGAAAATTTCCATCCATCTTGAATGTTCTTGCAGCACTTAAAGTTAAAAAGTAAGAGCCTGTCAGAGGCTGTATGTGAGTGACTCTGTGAAAGAGCTCAATAGTCTCTCTATAAAAGCCTCTCTAATGAAGGTCATTAGCACAGAAATTATACGAGCCTGCAAGCTCTCGTGTTGTTGATGTGCATTACAGTCTATGCACAATGTTTTTCATGGCTCTATATAATGAAAATAAAATGAATGAGAAATTGGCATTTCATTGTAAAAACTGGCCAATACAGCATCAGCCACAGTTATGATAAAATAGCTTGCTGGCCTGCTCAGTGTAATCAGAATCTTGTTTTTTAAGCTGTGTTTAAACTGTGAATTTGGCACATACTGTAGCTAGAATCACTTCCTACCAGCCTCACAGTCCAATGCAAAGTGGTCAATGCACAATGAGGTTATGTAACCCAGCAGCCATATCACCCTGCAACTCACAACTGGCAGCCCGCTGAAGCTAAGCAGGTGTGAGCCTGGTTAGTACCTGGATGAGAGACCTCCTGGGAAAAACTAAGGTTGCTGCTGGAAGTGGTGTTAGTGGGGCCAGCAGGGGGCGCTCACCCTGCAATCTGTGTGGGTCCTTATGCCCCAGTATAGTGACAGGGACACTACACTGTAAACAGACGCCGTCCTTCAGATGAGATGTAAAACTGAGGTCCTGTCTCTCTGTGCTCATTAAAAATCCCAAGGTGTCTCTTGAAAGGAGTAGGGGTGTAACCCTGGCGTCCTGGCCAAATTTCCCATTGGCCTTTACCAATCATGGCCTCCTAATAATCCCCCTCTATGAATTGGCTTCATTACTCTGCTCTCCTCCCCACTGATAGCTGGTGTGTGGTGAGTGTTCTGGCACACTATGGCTGCTGTTGCATCATCCAGGTGGATGCTGCACATTGGTGGTGGTGGAGGGGAGTCCCCATTACTTGTAAAGCGCTTTGAGTGGGGTGTCCAGAAAAGTGCTATACAAGTGTAAGCAATTATTATTATTAAAGTGGAATAGTGGAAACAGAAAATAAACTATACAATTGTATATAGAACAAGTAGGAAGTGTAAGCAATTATTATTATTATACCAGCCACATTCCTCTTAAGAGTCACAAGAAATGGCACTGAAATATAAAATGGCCAATGAGAAGAACTGACGGTTGCACCTCCCTGCTAGTCATCACTTAAGGAAATATGAGTTTTGGTAACAAACACAGATACAGACTTGAAATGCAATATGTTAACTTGAAGAGGAAGCAGTAGAAAAACACGTGTTGACATAACTATCTGCAGTCATGTGTCACAGATTCAAAAATTTGTGGGAAGCAAAAATACCCACCTGTTATTGTTTAAGGAATCTGGATTTCAACAGTTCCCCACAGTTCTGTTTATGACACTATCTGTGAAAATGACACATTTATTTTTTTATTATTATTCCAATAAATTTAATATTCCCAAGAACTGAATAGTTGAAATTTGCTTTAATATCTCAACTACTGTTGGAGAATTAGGAAGCCTATATGGAGAGATCAGGAACTGCAATTTACCTGGATGCTTTGAATGGATTTAAATTCTAACCATTAATCAGTGTGAAGAGTGTGAGCAAGGAGCTGGGAAAATCCAATCATTGACAACAATGGAGAATTTTCTCGTTTGGTGAATCCTTGACACTTCAAGGATTACTTTCTGTTGTCTTCACACATTTTGGTCAAAGGTAGCAGCAGTCCTGAAAAAACAACATCATACAGCTTGATGGGTTCAGTCTGCAAACAGGGTTAATCACCCAACATCAATTGCTGTTGCGAAACTAACAGTTTAAAGGTACTGTCAGGTTTTAATGTATAATAATATGTGACATACTGTATGAAAGCTTGGTTTGTCAAGCGTGAAACAGTGTCATCCTTCTCTTTCAATATTGTTATGCTTTTATACAGGTGTTGTATTCCTACTCATTATTGATCCAGCCCAGCATATTTTATAGTCTTTGGTACAGCTGGCATTGTTCAAGTTGGTACAACTGGCTAGAATGATTGGTACTTGCTGGCGAAGCTGCCTGCTACTTGAGGGTGAAATCTTTGTGAACTGAATTAAAGCCACTGTGTGAACGCAAGTCACTTCTCGCATGAGTGGGTGTCCTGAAGATTAAAACCAGACATAACAAAAGAACGCTTTTTGAATCCCTTGCTGTGTTGCATCAGCTCAAAAAATTAATTAACATCTATAAGCTGGATCTGCCTAAAAAGTAATCAAAGAGGTGCCAAAGGTTAATAGTTTCTGACATTAAAACATGAGTAGAGATTGAGGGTTTATCAGCAGCATTGCAGAGTTTTGCTGAATTGCACTGAAGTCTGCCTTGCCATGTAGGAATGCTTTTGTCTTCATTGTGTTACTAAAAGACTACTGGCTATCTGTCCATCTAACACTTGACAGTGTGAGGAATTATGGGAATGTATATAAACAGTAAAACATAATTACCCACACTGCTTTGCAAAGGGAACTTTCAGGCATGGAGAAGGAAATGACTTTTCTTCCTTCTGTCTGGCCCATCATACCAATTCATATCATTCATTGTTATTTTATTTTATTTCATTCCTTAAAGGACTGCCATTTCTTTTTTAAACAATATCCTCCTCATTTCATTTTTCATTTTTTAAGTTTTGTAAATTAGGAATTATTGCTTAAAATAAATCTACTACTAAAGAATTTATTTAAATAAAGAAGATAAAAAGCTTAAATGGATGAATAATTGGTTAATTGTAGATTACACTTGGTTCCTAAGTGTTTGGGACCAAGGCTACTGAAGAGGTTTAACGGCATGGAAACATATGTTAAATTCTAAATAAAAAGCTTATTTTAAAATAAAATAAATAACACTGAAATGTCCATGTGGCTTTCTTCTTTTCCCTATGTTTGGTTGTTGTGGTAAGGCTTATTCCTACTGTAACTCCTGTCACAGTGGATGGAGATACCATCTTGTTCAGTGGCTGTTCCCAAAACAACTGATGTCATCCTGTGGCTCCCAGAAGTGTGTGTTTGGCCCCATGGTGTCAATAACTGTTTCATGACTCTGGCCTTACCTCCCATTATTAACCTCCGCTTTGTTACTTTCCTTAGCTTTCAGCCTTAGCCCTTTGAACCCAGGCAGTGCAATGAAAGCAATGGTCTACAGTATGTGAAATACTGGAATTAAAACGCTATTCTAACAATCTGTTTTCCATGGAAACCCTCCAAGACCTGTTTTTGGCTGTCTGACACTGCTGTGGTTAAATGATGAACACAGACTATACTACACTGAATGGATCTGTCTGAATCCAGTCCCGCTTTGAATGAATAGGCTTATCTTTCAAGAACACTCTAGGACAGTGGTTCTCAAACTATGGTACGCAGAGCGTCCCCAGGTGGTATGCCATATGACCCTGGAACTTTGTTGTGTGCACTGAAAAATCGGGATAGGTTTTCATATTTTCTATTATGAAAATGGTGGAGCAGTGGTTCTGTAGCTAAGGATCTGCCCCTGTGGTTGGAAGGTTGCAGGTTCAAATCCCACAGCTGGCAGAGGAATCCTACTTCGTTGGGCTCCTGAGCAAGGCCCTTAACCCCAACTGCTCCAGGGGCGCAGTGCAATGGCAGACCCTGTGCTCTGACCCCAGGCTCTCTCCCTTTCTGTGTGTCTCATGGAGAGCAAGCTGGGGTATGCGAAAAGACAATTCCTAATGCAACAAATTGTGAAGGGTTAATAAAGTAATGTTATTATTATTATTATTATAATACGTGCCTAATACGCAGCCTACGTATTATGATACAGCGCACGCTAATACTTAAGAGGCCACAAGAGCTACAATGTAATTCTACTCCATTCTATAGGAATGTGTGCTACAAACGTAAGTGACCAATTGTTTTTAAAAAAAGGTATCTCCAGCAAAAAGGGAGGTAGGAGAAAGTGCGTGATTTTGGAACACCGCCGATCTTGTAAGCGCAGGAAAGCATAGAAATGCGTGTTATGAATGCTGGCAATCTTGTGAGCACAAGAAAGCATGATAGATAACAGAAAAATATTTAAGAACTGTTCTAGGTTCTTAAAATACACCGAGCGTCTCTATGTTTTGCTCCCCTGCACATAAAATAAAAACTTCTTTTAACTTCTGAGACAGACTCCTGAAATGGAAACGGGGAAAAAGAGCTGACATGAATTATGTGTGGAGAAAAGGCTGCTAAACAGCTTGACCTGCTGCCCCCTCTGAAAGACGCAGTCACTCATAGGATTATTGTTATGGCGGATGATATCAAAAGTACGCTGATAGAGCAGATGCTTTTCACTGCAATTAGATGAGTCTGTAGATGTCGTCGATTTGGCCAATTTGCTCATTTACGTTAGATACGGGTACGTCCCATGAGGACTTTCTGTTCTGTAAGCTGCTACCAACAGGAACTACAGGAGAGCACATATTTCAGCTTCTGAATGAATTTATCAAAGAGAATGGTATCGACTGGATAAAATGTGTCAGAGTTTGTACAGATAGTGCTAGAGCAATGACAACCAGACACAGTGATGTAGTTGCACGAATTAGAGAGGTTGCTCCAGAAATTAATGGACGCATTGCAGCATCCACCGTGAGACCCTTGCCATCAGAAAATGCCTGACGAATTAAAATCTGTTAGACACTGTTGTGAATTGTATCAGAGCTAAAAAAATGAATTCACATCTGCTTTGCTCGACTAAACAGGCTCACCCCTCTAGCTGAAATGGTGCCTTTTATTGTTTATTAAGACGTAACCCACCTTAAGCCAATGAAGAGCCTTAAGAGATAGATGCGGCCTCTTTAAAATTCTTCTGGAATCAGTCGTGATTATTATAACATTAAAATGAAAAGTTCTGTGAAAACAAGGTATGGTCATTACATTTGGGGTGAAGACATTGTAATACACAGGACAGTCTTGTGAAAACATGGAGGATATTGGGTAAATCTAGAAGAAAAATTAAATTAAAACAAAATTAGTTTCAGTTTGCTGTGGTAAAACACAAGGCAGGTCAATTGCCCTCCTTGTCAAGTTGCAAAGCAATAGCAGTTACTGACTAGTGCCATTGCTGGTAATAGAGAGTCCTGTAATCTTGTCCAAATGCTGCTGATGTCATCATGTGGCTCCCAAAAACGTTGCTATAGATGGCTAAGTTGTGGGTGTGCACTGTTGTTTGCATTCAGTTTCAGCAGTAATGAGGGTCAATTAAAAACCTACCCGGTCACCTACAGTATCTACTTTGTCCAAGAACAGAGAGGTTCAGTTCAACTAAAGCTCAGTTAAGGTTTCTGCTGTGTTTCTACTGTGGTTTGTATGTTATGGGAAAAAAACACACGGTGGCTAGTGAGGTCAGTGGGACATAATTGTGTGTCAGACCAGGGTGTAGTTGCATAAAGCCAAAGTATAAATCCAATGTGTTGTGCTGCTCTGTGGATCACTTTTAGCTGTTTATAAATCCTGGAGTGTTCTTGAACCCAAATTATCTA